CACACACACACACACACATATATATATATGTATATGTATATATATATATATATATATATATATATATATATATACATATATATACACATACATATATATAAATATATATATATACATACATATATATATATATATAAATATATATATACATATATATACATATATATATATATATATTTATATATATATACATATATATACACATATACACACCCACACACTCACACACACACACACACACACAGACACACACATACACACACACGCACACACACACACACACACACACACACACATATATATATTTATATATTTACATATATTGATAAATATATACATTTATATATTTATATATATTTATATATTTATGTATATATATATATATATATATATATATTTGAGAACATCCATATCAGCCCGTGGATAGATTATATTAATGTCTTCCTGCCCCCGTCTGAAAAATGTATATAAATGTAGGAAAATAAACCATCCTGTCGGGATCTATCATGCCCACAGGTCGGCCAGGGCTAGTGCTCGAAAACTAAGTTTTGCACCCCTGTTTACACATATATAGACATATTTGTAGATTCTGTTGGTGTGACTATATACATGGTCCATATATCAAACACAGTGTCTGTATACTTATAGATACAAAAACCTACGACCAATAGACTGTTTGTGCCTTTCTGGAGGATTACATGTGGGAATTCAGAGGCGTACGGTGATAGTCTTCCGTAGTCGCCCTTGGATTTTCTCTCTCCAATATATATTTCTTTCCAGCAGGAGTACGTCCATGCTTCAATATATGTATATATGCTTGTGAGTACAATTACAGGTTACTCGTACCGATATACCTACACACCCTCTATATTAGCGTCCGGTAATTCACTGCCGTGTGTGCTCACTGCATACTTATGCATCCGACGTACAAGCACATTCCATGCACACCACTTCATAGCGCATGGCTATCCACACCACTTCACACCTCCTTTATCTGGCAACCCAACTCACAGACCCTGAAGCAGTATGAGGATGTGTGCCAGGCCGTCTATTCGGGCACCAATCAGACCGACCCGCGAGTGCAGGCGTTGCTGGAAGAGTTCAAAGAACCTTCGAGTGGCACCAAATGCATCTATCTGCTCAGCAATGCTCAGTCGCCGTACGCACATCTGTTTGCCGCTAACTCACTCAACCAGATGGTGAATCACAAGTTTACGGGCATAGATATAGCACAGTGGATCAATGTCAGTAAGTTCTTTTGCCTCGATTTATGAACCTGTAGGTGTTTGGGCGTAGTAGAAACGCATACATACGTATGTTCTTTGTCCATATATGACATGTTATGGACACATGCTTGTGTATGTAAACAGCTGGCCCTTCATGGAATTCACATGCAGACATTCGCCTTCATGGTGCTGGCATACTCCACACAATTGCGAGCGCCCTGGGCGTATTATAGTACATTGTCTATACATATGTATATGCACACACATACACATATATGATCTGTGATCAAATTGTGGGTATGTTATTGTACACTCATGGAATCAAATTCTTGCATTCGAATACGACATTTGCACCTGCTTTTCAATTTTCAAGCCTTACACGCACTTACTAGCATACTTTATTCATATATGTTATTTGTATATATAATTTGTATCCGTGAGCAGAGAGTTTTTTTTTAGCACGAGTATCTGCGTAGCCGTCAAATGTCACTATACACATCCGCTTATAATCGCTCAGCTAATCACTCGTGTTTCAGCGTCGATCACTGTCCTACATTGTTTGTCCCTCTCCACAGAAACATACACACTCGAAGCGCTATTCCACGCCACACACGCCAGCTTTGTACGCACAACGCTGATGCAGATGCTGGCTAGCCTATGCAAGCACGGGTGGTACGACTCAACCGGGGTATGTAGCGATCGGAGTGTACCCGTGTTGTACTGTGTGTGTTGAGGTGGTATGAGTGAGTTCTAGGTAGTGCTTGGAGAGGTATCTATGCGTCGTAGCTACAGGTCTTATACCTACATACTTTAGTATCGCGGTTGTCGGGATGTGCTGTTTATAGAGCGCAGCTATATTGCAATGAGATCCACAGCATAAATCCGATCAGTAACAACCACGTACACGTCAAACGTACGGCATGTGCGGT